TGATTTCAGTCAATCATGTATGATTACATGTATATTGTATAACTGTGCTCTAAATAAAACATACAAAATTAGGGGATGAATAGCTACGGAATGTTTAGGTACATAAAATGTATATATTACAATGTACAGTAAGAGGCCAAAGCATTAGTTTATATATAAAAACTTTTGTATATACAGTTTTCATACAAGATATGAATACAAATGTCAGTTTTGGCTAGTAGCAATTTTATTATGTATGTTCAGGGGTAGGTTGTCATCCGTTAGTTATAAGGATGTTTTCTTATAAATGGTTATCATGTATTGTGATTACGTCAATGTGTGATATGCATGTATACTGTATATTTTAAATAAAAAATAAAAAAAAATACGAAGACAGTCTAAGGGCATATAAATTGAGGAGGGCGATATATGACTGAAGTGTACAAATGGAAGACAAGAATAAATAACGAGGATATCTACACGAGTAGATATGGGTTGGACCTGCCCAGCATGGGACAGTAGATATATTAGTGGTACACATTACCGAGAAGTTAATAACTTAAAAATATGTACAACAACTGGGTATTTTTAGTTTGTAGAAGTTTTGCCAGCAAATGGTTTCATAAATTCAATTCAGGAACAAACGGAAGACTGTATAAGAGGTAAACAGTCTCTGATTACGTCATCTTCTACTGTATTTTGTGTATAGTTCTGCTAGTCTGAGACTCTCATTAAATCCTCATCTACAGTCGTCTATTTTGGATGGCGAATAGTAACGATACCAAAATGTTGCACATGTGTGTAAATCATCTGGGACATGTAAGCCTACTTCGGCTCTCCTTCATGGTCTTATTTTACAAGGTTAGAGCAAGAGCTATGTTTACCTAACATACCCATAATGCAGGATTTTTTTACATGCTCCATCACACAAGATACTTTATAATGCAGGATTGTGTTCTCAGTCATACTCCGTAATGTAATACTGTGTTTTCAGTCATACTCCTCATGCAGTAAGGCGTTTTCAATCATACTTCATTATGCAGGATGGTTCTCCCGTAATACAATGTCACATCTCACTGAGTTTCTTCATACTCCATAATAAAGATCGTATTCCAGTCATGTCATAAGAACATAAGAAAGAAGGAACACTGCAGAAGGCCTACTGGCCCATGCGAGGCAGGTCCAAGTCTCCTACCGGCTTAAGCCAATGCCCCAACCTAGTCAGGTCAGGTCACATTCACTTAAGGAAGGAACACGACAACTGACCTAGTAGCACAAGCTAATCAGGTCCAACTCACACCCACCAACACCCACTCATGTATTTATCTAACCTATTTTTAAAACTACACAACGTTTTAGCCTTAATAATTGTACTTGGGAGTTTGTTCCACTCATCCACAACTCTATTACCAAACCAGTGCTTTCCTATATCCTTCCTGAATCTAAATTTTTCCAACTTAAATCTATTGCTACGAGTCCTGTCTGGGCTAGATATTTTCAGCACGTTATTTACATCCCCTTTATTTATTCCTGTCTTCCATTTATACACCTCAATCACATCCCCCCTAATTCTACGCCTTTCTAGAGAGTACAGATTCAGGGAGCTCAGTCTATCCTCATAGGGAAAATTTCTCATACATGGGATCATCTTTGTCATCCTCCTTTGTATGTTTTCCACAGCATTTATATCCATTCTGTAATACAGTGACCAAAACTGTGCAGCATAGTCTAACTGAGGCCTAACCAAGGATATATAGAGTTGAAGAACAACCTGAGACTCCTATTATTTTTGCTTCTTGATATGAAACCAAGGACTCTGTTAGCTTTATTGCGAATACTTATGCACTGTTGTCTTGGTTTCAGATTACTGCTAACCAGGGCTCCTAAATCTTTTTCGCAATCCATAATATTAAGATCGACATTATTTAGTTTATATGTGGCATGGTTATTTTCCTGTCCAACATTTAGAACTTTGCATTTGTCTATATTAAACTGCATCTGCCACTTCTCCGACCACTGCATCAGTCTATTCAAATCTTCCTGGAGTGCTCTAATGTCCTCGTCAGAATGAATTCGACGGCCTATTTTGGTGTCATCGGCAAACTTGCTTATGTCGCTCTTTATGCCCTAATCAATGTCGTTTATGTAGACTGTGAACAACAGGGGGCCCAACACTGACCCCTGTGGAACACCGCTCGTGACGCTTCCCCACTCTGATTTCTCCCCATTTATGCAAACTCTCTGCTGCCTATTTGTCAACCATGCCTCTATCCAGGAAAAAATTTCTCCTCCTATTCCATGTGCTTTAATTTTCCTCAATAGTCTCTGACGTGGGACCCTATCAAAAGCCTTACTGAAGCCCATATACACAATATCATATTCATTACCATGATCTACCTCCTCAAATACCTTAGTGAAAAAAGTTAATAAATTCATAAGACAGGAACGCCCCTTTGTAAAACCATGCTGAGATTCGTTGATTAATTTGTGCTCTTCAAGGTGGCTACGAACTGCCTCGGCTATTACTGATTCCATAAATTTTCCCACTATGGAGGTTAGGCTTATTGGTCTATAGTTCGAAGCAAAGGACCTGTCACCTGCTTTGAAAATAGTTATCACATTTGCCATTTTCCACTTATCTGGCACCATGCCAGTCTGTAGTGATATATTGAAAAGATTAGCCAGAGGTATGCTAAGCTCCTGCTTACATTCCTTTAGAACCCTTGCACACAGTTCAACAGGGCCTGGGGATTTGTTAGGTTTTAATTTATCAATTTGCCTAAGATCCATGTCACTTGTGACCCTAATCGTGCATAGTTTATTATCATCCTGTTCTACATAATTTATTATTTCTGGAATATCGCTAGTATCTTCCTGAGTAAAAACTGAGAGGAAGTATGTGTTAAAACTTCTACATATTTCCTTATCACTGTTTGTGAGCTGACCCGAGTAACTTTTGAGTGGGCCTATCTTGTCCCTGATCTTACTTCTGTATACCTGAAAGAATCCTTTTGGGTTAGTCTTCGATTCTCTTGCAACTTTGACCTCATAATCTCTTTGCTTTTCTTATTCCCTTTTTTATTTCTCTCTTTAACTGAATATATTGATTTCTTAATTGCCCCTCTCCTCTTTTGATTTGCCTATATATGCCTCTCTTTTGACCATTGAGATGTTTTAATCTATTGTTCATCCATTTAGGATCATTTTTGCTTGATCTGATTTCCCTATTTGGAACATAAGTTGTCTGAGCAGCTAGAACTATGCCCTGGAAAACGTCATATCGGCAATCATCACCACCTACCTGACCCATAGTCAGGTCATTCCAGTTCAGCCCACCCAAGTAATTTTTCAGTCCTATGAAATCAGCCAAGCAGAAGTCAGGGACAGAGACTTGATTGCCATTATTAGGGGAATTCCATGATATATTAAAACTGAGTGATTTGTGATCACTTTCCCCAAGCTCATCATTAACCTCAAGATTATTAATTAGCGTTTCCCTGCTGGCAAGAACCAAGTCAAGCAGGTTATTTCCACTAGTTGGCTCTGTCACAAGCTGTTTTAAAAAACAATCCTGAATCGTATCAAGAAAGTCACTTGATTCTAAATTTCCAGTCAAATTGCTCCAATCTGTCTATAGTTGAAATCTCTCATTATCACATTTTCGTATGTAGAAGCCTTAGGAATTTCATCCCATAGAAGTTTACCGCACTCCCTATCAAGATTTGGGGCCCTGTAAATCACACCCAAAATTAGTTTTTCACGGCCCTCGAGAAGCTGTAACCAAACAGATTCAGTGGCTGACGCTTCTAATTTTATATCTTGTCTAACACAACACTTTAAATTGTCTCTGACGTACATCGCTACTCCACCACCCTTCCTGTTGACCCTGTCAGTGTGGAATAATTCATAGCCTTGTATGTGACATTCAGAAGGCATCTCTCTATCTTTCAGATTGAGCCAGGTCTCTGTTATAGCAATGATATCTATGTTTCCTGCACTTGCAAATAATCTTAGCTCATCTATCTTATTTCTTACACTCCTGCTATTAGTATAATAGACCTTAAGGAAGCTAGTCCCTTGCTTCTCTCTGCTGTCTCCCTTTGTTTGCTGACGTGATCTATTGTCTTTATTTATAACTTCATGATAAATGTCTTTTATACATTTACTGTTTTCAACCCTAGTGTTGCAACCTGACTGTTTCCCACACACACCCATACTTCTATCTTCTATCAGTTTAAAATCCTAGGCATTTCAGCAATGGCCCTCTCGATTGAGTTTGCAAGAGCTACCACCCCTGCCCCATAAAGATGTACCCCATCCCTTGCATACATATCATGTTTGCCATAAAAGTTGTCCCAGTTGTCAATGAATGGGATTGCAAGTTCCTTGCAGTATCTGTCTAGCCAGCAATTTGCACCAATTGCCCTAGACAACCATTCATTGCCCACAGATGCTACATATAATTGAGACCCCTCCCTCATCACACCAGATATGTTGTCTGTCAACTTAGATCACACACTCATGATTTTCCTGCTGTACTCTATCACACAACATGGGTTTCCCTTCTCGTGCTCTATCACCAACATAGTCTGCCATCATCAAGATAGTCTGCCATCACCAAGATAGTCTGTCAACACCAAGATAGTCTGATATCATCAAGATAGTCTGCCATCACCAAGACAGTCTGAGCATGACATTAAAACCATCGTTTCCCTATCAAGCCCAGTTATTAAAGAGTTTTGATGACATGCTTCAATACAAAGGATGGTCTTCATTTCATTCATCTTCACAAATGATCTGAATAACCAGGAACTTTCTATAAAGTATACCAATGCTGTAAACTAATCTTAGTTATATCAACTGCATGAGATGCTTTGCAGAAATGACGATTATTATTTTATTACTACTACTACCACTATTACTACCATTTAATAATGAAATCTGCTGACTAATATTATTCTATTACCGAAGCTTAAAGTCTGTTCCTAGACCTTTACTACATGTGTAATTTTCTTTATCAGTTTCCAGTCTTGTTCTGGTCACAAAAGGAGTTCGACCCTGCCAAGCTAGAGAGGCTACACGAGGCACTGGGCTGGTTCAACGATATGCTGGATGGCCACAACTGGGCTGTGGGTAACACACTCACTGTCGCCGACCACAGTCTGTCAGCCTCCGTGGAGACCTTCCGTGTTTTTGGCATTGATTTAAGCAAGTATGAGAACATCCTGTCGTGGTTGGAAAGATGCAGCGACACGATGCCTGGCTACAAGGAAATAAACTTGAAGGGCTGTGAGGAACTCAAGAATTTGTGCGCGAAGAAAAAGTAGCTCCTAATTTTAGAAAGAAACACCGCAGAGAACTTGAGCGCAAAATCTTGTGAAGCTCCACTAAAGAGTTCGAGGCTTCATGAACCTCACTAGCTCCTGCAACAAGGAACTTTGAATCTATACCTAAAACCTATAAGTACTTGTTTTCAACTTGCCTGCAACAAGGAAATTTCCGTTGGAACATAAAATATATATGCTATGCTTCTTTTGTGATCTTTTCATGTTACATTTAACCTCAGCTTGTCGCGCGTTACCCTATAATAAATGACTTTTAATTAGTTCTGTGATTATGATTATTATTAAAGAGAGAAATTAATAAATTCTTCAATATTCATGAACCTTACAGATTGATATTTTGAATTGTTAAGTGGGAGATTATTGAGACTTTTTAATATAATAAATTGATAATAAAAAGATTAATAATGGGGCTAATTTATAAAGAGGTATAAATTATTCCACATTGATAAAGTCAGCGCGAAGGGAGGCGAAGTTGGTATGTATGTCATAGGAATATCAGGAATGATTTATAGGCAGGAGGAACGGAAACAGAAATTATATGACTTCAGTTTCTTTAAGGTTGTGAAAAATTAATTTGAGGTGTGATGCACACACAAAGTCCAGATAGTGAAGGTATTTAAATGTGAAAATGTTGTTCTAATTGGAGATTTCAGATTCAGTTAAACTGACTGGAGCAATTTTACAAGAAACCTACAGTCTACTGACTTTACAGAAATAGTCCAGGATTTTTATTTTACAACAATTTGTGAAAGAACCAACTCGAGGAAATAATTTACTAGTCTTGATTCTGGCTGACGAGGAATGTTTGATAAACTCTCTAGATATATATAAAGAACTTGGAGGAAATTTTCACAAATCAACAAGTTTCGGTATTTCATGGAGCCACCTAAAAACAATAATGAAATTATGGCTCCTGATTTCGGTGCCGCAGAATTTATTCGGATGAGAGATTACCAAATAACGTCAATTGGGGTCACCTCTTTATAAATTATCAGAAGGGAGACCCGGGAGGTGGAGTGATGATTGCCAATACAACATTTTCCAGAACATCGTGTAAGCAGCTAAGTGCTCGTATATTCCTGATAGAAAAAGATCAAACATAAATAGATGAAAAGTGAGGCATTTACAGTCTAATCAAAAGCGGCAAGGGCCACCTTGTGGATTATTTTAATTTAAGAAATAAACCAAAAAAGAATAAGAAAGACTAAAAGAGATTTTGAACTTAAGATTGAGAGAAAATTAAAGACCAACACAAAGGACTTCTTTCAGGTACGTGGGAACAAGGATGTACTCTTTATTCCTAAAGTTTCGCCTACACAGCAGGCTTTATCTACGAATACAGATGTTGCAAATATGAAAACAGCAGCAGTAAAAGAGGTTAAGATGATGTGGTAAGTCCATTAACCTTGAAGGTGGCCCGGCGGCCTGGTGGCTAAAGCTCCCGCTTCACACACGGAGGGCCCGGGTTCGATTCCCGGCGGGTGGAAACATTTCGACATGTTTCCTTACACCTGTTGTCCTGTTCACCTAGCAGCAAATAGGTACCTGGGTGTTAGTCGACTGGTGTGGGTCGCATCCTGGGGGACAAGATTAAGGACCTCAATGGAAATAAGTTAGACAGTCCTCGATGACGCACTGACTTTCTTGGGTTATCCTGGGTGGCTAACCCCCCGGGGTTAAAAATCCGAACGAAATCTTATCTTAAGGAGTATTTTGATGTATTCAGTCCCACCTCACCTAACACCTTACAGCCACTGTCTCTACTCACCTAGCACCTTACAAAGAGCTATTCCTGCTCATTTAGCACCCTACAAAAGTATTCCTGCTCACCGAAAACCTTAAAAAAGGTACTCCTGCTCACTTTAAACTCTACAAGAGTTACCCTTCTCACGTAGCGCCTTACGAAAGCTAGTCCTGCTCACCTAGCCCTTTCGAAAGATACTCCTGTTCACCTAACACCTTACAAAAGCTACTCCTTCCCACTTTAAAGCCTAGAAAAGTTACTTCTGCTCACTTAAGTACCTTACACTCGCTGTCTCGACTCGCCTACCATCTTACTCACTGTCTCTACTCACCTAGAACCTTACACTCGCTGTCTCTGCTCACTAGCACCTTACACTCGCTGTCTCGACTCGCCTAGCATCTTACTGTCTCTACTCACCTAGCACCTTACACTCGTTGTCTCTACTAACCTAGCACCTTACAGCCAAATGGATAAGTCACCCTACACCTCCACATGTTGACTTAGTCCAAAATAGAGCCTGCGCGTTAACAAGATATACTGCTTGGCGACGGAAAAGAATAACAGAGCGGCTAAAAGAGGTCAATATATCTGAAATGCGCAGGGAGACACTGGTCAGAGAAATTGCAAGCATCGAACTTAAGCTAAAAGAATCCTTTAGGAGTCAGGAATCGCGGGAAGAACTAAAAGCTATAAATGAAATCGAAAGAAACCCAAAGTATTTCTTCTCCTATGCCAAATCAAAATCGAGAACAACGCCCAGTATTGGGCCCCTACTTAAACAAGATGGTCCTACACAGATGACAGCAAGGAAATGAGTGAGCTACTCAAGTCCCAATATGACTCAGTTTTTAGCAAGCCGCTAACCAGACTGAGAGTCGAAGATCAAAATGAATTTTTTATGAAGAGAGCACAAAATTTGATTAACACAAAGCCTATCCGATGTTATCCTGACGCCAAATGACTTCGAACAGGCGATAAATGACATGCCCATGCACTCTGCCCAGGGCCAGACTCATGGAACTCTGTGTTCATCAAGAACTGCAAGAAGCCCCTATCACGAGCCTTTCCATCCTATGGAGAGGGAGCATGGACACGGGGGTCGTCCCTCAGTTACTAAAAACAACAGACATAGCCCCACTCCACAAAGGGGGCAGTAAAGCAACAGCAAAGAACTACAGACCAATAGCACTAACATCCCATATCATAAAAATCTTTGAAAGGGTCCTAAGAAGCAAGATCACCACCCATCTAGAAACCCATCAGTTAACACAACCCAGGGCAACATGGGTTTAGAACAGGTCGCTCTGTCTGTCTCAACTACTGGATCACTACGACAAGGTCCTAAATGCACTAGAAGACAAAAAGAATGCAGATGTAATATATACAGATTTGCAAAAGCCTTCGACAAGTGTGACCATGGGCGTAATAGCGCACAAAATGCGCGCTAAAGGATAAACAGGAAAAAGTCGGTCGATGGATCTATAATTTCCTCACTAACAGAACACAGAGAGTAGTCGTCAACAGAGTAAAGTCCGAGGCAGCTACCGGTGAAAAGCTCTGTTCCACAAGGCACAGATCTAGCTCCATCTTGTTTCCTCATCCTCATATCCGACATAGACAAGGATGTCAGCCACAGCACCGTGTCTTCCTTTGCAGATGACACCCGAATCTGCATGACAGTGTCTTCCATTGCAGACACTGCAAGGCTCCAGGCGGACATCAACCAAATCTTTCAGTGGGCTGCAGAAAACAATATGAAGTTCAACGATGAGAAATTTCAATTACTAAGATATGGTAAACATGAGGAAATTAAATCTTCATCAGAGTACAAAACAAATTCTGGCCACAAAATAGAGCGAAACACCAACGTCAAAGACCTGGGAGTGATTATGTCGGAGGATCTCACCTTCAAGGACCATAACATTGTATCAATCGCATCTGCTAGAAAAATGACAGGATGGATAATGAGAACCTTCAAAACTAGGGAGGCCAAGCCCATGATGACACTCTTCAGGTCACTTGTTCTATCTAGGCTGGAATATTGCTGCACTCTAACAGCACCTTTCAAGGCAGGTGAAATTGCCGACCTAGAAAATGTACAGAGAACTTTCACGGCGCGCATAACGGAGATAAAACACCTCAATTACTGGGAGCGCTTGAGGTTTCTAAACCTGTATTCCCTGGAACGCAGGAGGGAGAGATACATGATTATATACACCTGGAAAATCCTAGAGGGACTAGTACCGAACTTGCACACGAAAATCACTCACTACGAAAGCAAAAGACTTGGCAGACGATGCACCATCCCCCCAATGAAAAGCAGGGGTGTCACTAGCACGTTAAGAGACCATACAATAAGTGTCAGGGGCCCGAGACTGTTCAACTGCCTCCCAGCACACATAAGGGGGATTACCAACAGACCCCTGGCAGTCTTCAAGCTGGCACTGGACAAGCACCTAAAGTCAGTTCCTGATCAGCCGGGCTGTGGCTCGTACGTTGGTTTGCGTGCAGCCAGCAGCAACAGCCTGGTTAATCAGGCGCTGATCCACCAGGAGGCCTGGTCACAGACCGGGCCGCGGGGGCATTGACCCCCGAAACTCTCTCCAGGTAAACTCCAGGTAAACTGGTGTATTCTCGGTTAATTACCCTCCCTGGTTAATACTCATTCTGGGTTAATAAGTTCACGGGTTTTGCAACCCACCTGGATTAATGACCCTTCATTATGAATAACCCTCATGGGTTTAATATACCTCATGGGTTTAATAACTCTCATGGGTTTAATGGCCCTCATGGGTTTAATAACCCTCATGGGTTTAATACTCCTCATTGGTTTAATAACTCTCATGGCTTTAATAACTCTCATGGGTTTAATAACCCTCATGGGTTTAATATACCTCATGGGTTTAATAAGTCTCATGGGTTTAATAGCCCTCATGTGTTTAATAGGTCTCGGAGGTTTAATAGCTCCCATGGGTTTAATAACTCATTACTAAGACGTGTATTCACGTCCTAATACCGTGTAGCGTCGAGGTGCTGGTAGCTCAGCAGCACTCATCCACTACAGTTGTCATTACTCCCGTACATGAGCTCTGTCACTCACGTTCAGAGCCTGTCAGTCACGTTCAGTGTGTCACTCATGTTCAGCGCCTGTCAGTCACGTTCAGTGTCTGTCATTAATGTTCAGAGTCTGTCACCACCCATGTTGAGAATCTGTAACTCACGTTCTGAGTCTGTCATTCCCGTTCAAAATAAATAAGATGGTTCTGGTAGTAGTTTCACTACAAGCACAAAGAAGACAGCTCGCGTTGCGGCTAGAAATACCCCCACAGCTTGTAGAGAATAATATTTAGTTCAGAGTCATGTCTATAAGTCTAAATTATATTCAAGTCCAAAACCTGAATATCTCCAATCTCATATATTAGAAAAAACTTGAATATCTCCCATCTCATATATTAGAAGAAAAAAAACTTGAATATCTCCCATCTCATATATTAGAAAAAAAAAACTTAGAGAGTGCTTCTGAAGAAAGGTTGAAATTGATTAATTTTTTGAGCAAAA